AGTAATAAAAGCAATCCCAAATAAATAATCTTATGTTCCACCTCAAGGCCTTAGAAAAAGAAGGACAAACTAATTCCATAATCAGCATAAGACAAGAAATAATTAAGATCAGAGCTGAAATTAATAAAATTGATAATAAAAAATGCATAGGATCAATGCAATGGAAAGTTGGTTCTTTCAAAAGATAAATAAGATTGATAAGCACTTAGCCAAAGAAACACTTAACCAAGGAAAAGAAAAAAGAAAGAGATCAAAAGCAATAAAATTCAAGATGAAAAATGAAATATCATCAAAGACTCTTTTGAAACCCAGAGGATCATCAGAACCTATTTTGAAAATTTATTCTCAATAAACTGAAAAATCTAGAAGACGTTGACAAATATCTAGACATATGGCCTGCCCAGATTGAACCAGGAAGATATATAAAACATAAACAGACCAATATCAAGTATTAAAATTGAAACAGCAATTAAAAGCCTTCTGAACAAAGAAAAGCCCAGGACCAGAAGGATTCTCAGCTGAGTTCTTCCAGACCATTACACCAGTTTTTCCCCCCAAAAATTTATTTTATGAAATTGGAAGGAAGGGAACAATCCTAAATATATTCTATGAAGCCAGTATAACCCTGATTCCAAAACCAGACAAGGAACACATAAAATAAAGAAAACTACATAACGACATCCTGATGAACATAGATACAAAAGGCCTTCAATATAATCCAGTATTCATTCATGTTAAAAACACTCTAGAAGCTATGGATGAAAAAAATTTATATCAACAACATAAAGGCTATTTATGACAAACCAAAAACCAACATCATACTAAATGGAGCAAAAGTATTTTACCTTTACATGTTAACCATGGATATCCTGAAACCTTTCTCTGTATTTTTTTCTGCTATAGCTGTCAATGCTTCTAATGATGTGTTGTCTTGATTAGTTTGTGGTACTTTCTTCCCTTGTCTTTTCATGTGGCTCATGTGTCTTCCTTTCCAGATATGTGGATCTGGTGTGTTATTGTTTTTACCCTATAGATTTGTAGGGTTCCAAGATCCCTCCTTTGTGGGGAAGGACAATGTTAACAGATCCCAATATCAACAATACATCACCTATGAAGAATTTGTGGCTATTAAGACATTTACAGTTTAGTCTCAATGTCCAGAAATGTTGTATTCAATTATTATTTAAAATATAATCACAATGGAGTATTACTCTGCATTAAAAAATGACAAAATCATAGAATTTGGAGGGAAATGGATGGCATCAGAGCAGATTATGCTAAGTGAAGCTAG